GGGTCTGGAAGGGGCTTCCCATTGTCTGAGGCTGATTAGGTCGATGGCTAATATATCCTCCTTGCGTAAAAAAACAGTAAACCATTCTTTAATGTATTTAATTCACTTTGAAATTTACTAATGTTTTCCATTTGTGTACTCTGGCTTTCTCTCAATTGTTACTATTTTATTCTATACTAACATGACCTAAAGCAGTATCTCTTGTCTGTTGACAGAGTATTGTCACCTCCCACGATCCTTACTATCTTATTCTATACTAACATGACCTACAACATAATCTCTTGTCTGTTGATGGAGTATCTTCACCTTCCAAGATCCTTACTATCTTATTCTATACTAACATAACCTACAGCAGTATCTCTTGTCTGTGGACAGAGTATCTTCACCTCCCACGATCCTTACTATCTTATTCTATACTAACATAACCTACAACATAATCTCTTGTCTGTTGACGGAGTATATTCACTTCCCACGATCATTCCTATCTTATTCTGTACTAACATGCCCTAAAGCAGTATCTCTTGTCTGTTGACAGAGTATCTTCACCTCCCACGATCCTTACTATCTTATTCTTTAGCATGAGTTTAAAAACCTCCTGTCTGTTGACAGTAACTCTACACAAACATTTGAGAAAAAAAAACAAAAACAGCAGATTCATTACTGGTTGATTTTATAAATGCATCCTATAAATAGCATTCACATTTAGACAGTTTTAAGTATGAATTCTTGAACAACTTATTTAACAGTAGTACTGTTGCATTTCAATAAACATGAACAAAGAACAGGTTTTACATAATCACATTTTTTTAGTTGTTAGGTGTGTTAATGAAAAGCAAATCTTTTAAACTTACATCATTGTCTATTTCTGTTTAAAAAGTGTAATGATTGACATAAATAATCGACTGCAGAGTTTAATCTTTAAAAATCTTTAATTTGCTGTTTGTTTTTTTTTATCTTACAAAATAATGTTTAGAAGCTTCAACTAACTTTCTTACTTAAGTTAGTGAAGCCAATACCAACACAAGTTAAAATAACTTTGTCTGTGCCAAGTTGTAAATTTTCCTCTTCATCATTCTTCTTCTGTACCTCTAGCTTGAACATTATCTGGAGGAAGTCTTTCATGTGTCGTAGAAAACTCATGCTAAAAATGAACAATATATATATTAGAACTATATTAGAAAGAATAATTTAAAGTTTTCTACATATACATATATACACAAATCCATACAGCATTGGAAAAATATATGAAAACAGTGAGGAAAAATGGTGTAAAAGGTAAATACTAGAGTAATGCCCTCCGTTTATCATAAAAAAACAAGTTCACCAGAACATACTCATGTTGGTTGTCACTTAACAAATCAGGATGTGACACATCAATATAAAATCTATAAGGAAGTCACAGTAGTAGTAAGTGTGTAAATCCAGCATGCAAGGATCAAAAGTTTTGATTGATAAAGAATACTCCATGGAAAGATCACAGCATATCTCCATATTTCAATAGGATCTGTATCTGAAGAGGGTATGTGAAACTTACAGTGTTAATAACTAAAACCTGAAGCTCTTCAAAAGTGATGTTAAATATCTTACAAAATTTCTTTATAAGACAGACTAGGATCAAGTACAGATATTACTATTGGCCTTGATTTAAATACAGGCCCATATGTTATCTCAAGAACAGTACATTACACATTAGTATGTAGTGCTCTCTTTTGACATATAGCTGCTTGAAAACTTCTGCTAAATCAAGAAAACAAAATTATATGGTTGAAACAGTCATCTGAACATAAACAGTGGAATGAGAAAAGCTATTTACAGATAAATCTAAGTTCAAATTGTTCTGCAACAAACAATGACAGTTTTTTAGATGAAAACAAAGTTGTTATCAATGTACAAGATTAGTCCACGTCAAATCAATCACTTCCAGAAGGTTTCTAACATGACCTCTTCCAAGCTGAGCTTTGGTATAAAGTTAGAGGATGGTGAGAGACATGCATGGTGGAATTGACATTCTGAGTGAGGTCAAAGGGCAACAATTCAAGTCAAGGGTCAAAATTCTGAATGCTAAAAGAATAAAATATTTAGCTAGAGCATAAAGAGCTAACCAAAAAAATGTCTCTTATTCCTACCCACTATCACTCCCCCGTTTTAATGCTCTTCCAAAAATACACAAGGAAAATACACCATACAGACCTATTGTATCTAGCATAGGCTCACCTACACAAAATGTCGCTAAATTCTTAACTAAGTAACGTAGCCAAATTAAAGGTTTTTGTGTGTGTGTTAAAGAATGTCCAAAAAGTTCTTCTTCAAACATGTACAGGTCACTGAGTAGGGGGAAAGGGGAAGATTCCATGGTTAAAGTACCGTTTTGTTTATAGAATTTATCTTCATAGGTAAAGTAAGTGTTGTTGACACAGTATTCAGTTGGCTAGTGAAGTGAGTGTTGTTAACACAGTATTCAGTTAGTCTAGTAAAGTAAGTGTTGTTGACACAGTATTCAGTTAGTCTAGTAAAGTAAGTGTTGTTAACACAGTATTCAGTTAGTCTAGTAAAGTAAGTGTTGTTGACACAGTATTCAGTCAGTCTAGTAAAGTAAGTGTTGTTAACACAGTATTCAGTTAGTCTAGTGAAGTACGTGTTGTTGACACAGTATTCAGTTACGCTAGAGAAGTAAGTGTTGTTGATTGACACAGTATTCAGTTTGGCTAGTGAAGTGTTGTTGATACAGTATTCAGTTAGGCTAGTGAAGTACGTGTTGTTGACACAGTATTCAGTTACGCTAGAGAAGTAAGTGTTGTTGATTGATACAATATTCAGTTAGGCTAGTGAAGTGTTGTTGATACAGTATTCAGTTAGGCTAGTGAAGTACGTGTTGTTGACACAGTATTCAGTTACGCTAGAGAAGTAAGTGTTGTTGATTGACACAGTATTCAGTTAGGCTAGTGAAGTGTTGTTGATACAGTATTCAGTTAGGCTAGTGAAGTAAGTGTTGTTGACACAGTATTCAGTTACGCTAGCGAAGTAAGTGTTGTTGATTGACACAGTATTCAGTTAGGCTAGTGAAGTGTTGTTGATACAGTATTCAGTTTGGCTAGTGAAGTAAGTGTTGTTGATACAGTATTCAGTTAGGCTAGTGAAGTGTTGTTGATACAGTATTCAGTTTGGCTAGTGAAGTAAGTGTTGTTGACACAGTATTCAGTTAGGCTAGTGAAGTAAGTGTTGTTGACACAGTATTCAGTTAGGCTAGTGGAGCAAGTGTTGTTGATTGATACAGTTTTCAGTTAGGCTAGTGAAGTGTTGTTGATACAGTATTCAGTTTGGCTAGTGAAGTAAGTGTTGTTGATACAGTAGTCAGTTAGGCTAGTAAGGTGGTTTATTAGGATCAGGGTTAGTTTGTTCCAATTCAGCTTTTAAACAGATTATGGCTTGTTCTAAAGGTATAAAAGCGAAGAGAGGTTTTATGTCAAAGGATACTAAAATGTCTTCTTTTTCTAGGCTAATGTTTCTGATTCTGTTCACAAAGGCTTTGCAATTTTCAAGAGAGAAAACTGAATTTCTAAACAGTATAAGACCAAATATTATAACCTTTACATATGAAATAGAATCTGAAAACTGCCTCCCCTTTTTAGATGTTAAAGTTATAAGAGAAAACAAGAATATGATCACCAATATATACAGGAAAATTTTTGCTGTATCTATGCCACCACACCAAAGATATAATCACCATCTGTCACAAAAAGGTTCTACATACTATACTCTCATAAACCGTGCAATATAATTCTGTACTCACAAAACAGACTTATACATTGAACTTAACTACTTACAAAATGTTGCTATATCTAGGGGTTTCAGTCCTGATATCATAAACAGAAACTTTATTAAACTCATAAAATTACAAACAATTCTACATTAATTCCAGCCTTTCCCTTATCAGTAACATAAATCATAATAAGTTTGTCTTGTTTACTTTTGTTCCTGAAATGGCTATTGAAATAACCTTTTATTTAATAACTTTAAAACTGGAAGTAAGAATTGTATATAACCCCTCACATAAGATAAGTGCTTCATTATATACCTTAAAACAAGCTCTAATGAACAAACAAAAAAGGCATATATAACACAAAATGTGATAAGAAATACTTTAGACAAATTGCCCAATCTCTCAAAATCAGACAAAAAGAACACTAAAGCCACATGCATAGAGGGAATTTTGAAAAATCCACCTTAACATGTCATCAATTTGAAACCAGTCATAGGATTATTTGGAATAAAATCTCTCTTACACCAACCAAAACATAAAATAGAACAAAATATTCTTGAATGCATTTAAATTATGAACACAAGTTTTTTTATCTTTAAACCGAGACAATGGCCTTAGTAACATTAACAAAATATGACAAAATTTATTCACTTAGCTCCCCCCCTCCTTCTCACTTTCCTTTAGGTGTTAACTCTGTCACAATATTTTGTTATCACATGATAACACTCTGTTGTTACATCCTGTTACCCATTGTTCCTAGAGACATTCTATTCGGGATATAAACCTCTTTGTTTGGATTTGTATCATACCTGGAAAATACAGACCAATGCTCTGTCGAAACATGTAGTATGTATTAAAATATTTTTCATTATGCTTACAAAGTTGTATCTTATATATACAAGTCTCCATGGTTTAATGTGCTTCCCTACAGAAATATATATACATATACAAGTCATTGTTCTCTATTAGGAGCCATTTAAGGTCAGATATCTGGTGACGTCTCACACAAAAGCTATTTGACCTAGAGATGTGAAATTTGGTGTTGGTGAAATATTATGGCTCCAACATTCCTACCAAATGGTATTGAAATCCATGAATCCTTAGTTTTGAGAGTGATTGTCATGACATGGACTGACCCAACAACTACAGTGTGGCATGGTGGGAGATAATTACAAGTTTGAGACTACACCTCAATCAACAGCTTTTGGCAATATACACAAAACTGATGGCACCTTGTCTGTACAGGTAAAGATCCATCATGCCACCCCTCAGAAACACATTTCATCAGACAAAGATTCATCTTCAAAGAACATTAAATGATATCTTGATGGAACCCTCACAACCATGGCTTAGCCTGCATAAAGTCCTGACACTTAGGTCAAAAATGACCAAAGAACTTGGCTGAATTGTTGGTAGTATTCCACAACCATGACACTGACAAACCATGTGGTAATATGAAAACAATGTATATACTCTATGTAAAGCAAAGAGTTCACATACAAAATACTAGCGCACTATTGACCCTAATCTCTTTTCTGTTGTATTGTCTGTAACATTCTTTTGTACCATTAATAACAAGTTCACCATCTAGGAATCACTGCTTATTGTTTTTGACACCTGTATGTGTATCAATCCTGTGTTTCCATTATTGTATACATTATATATATAATGAAATAAATAGCTTCAATACTATTAATTACATTAATTATTAATAGGCAATTAAAATCAGCTCTATAAAACAATAATGAGCTTAATATAAAATAAACAATAAAAATATTTTAGTAAATAATTCACTGTCAGTGTTAATTGTCACCTTAACGAAATGCAATCGCTGATGTTAATGGTATGGAGTTGAGTGTTTACACCCAGAATGTCTCAACTCTTACTGTCTTTCACTGACAGAAAGTGTTACGGGGGTAAGCACCCAACTTCATACCCTTAACATCAGTGTTTGGGTCTTGTCTGATAGATGGGATATCCCCAATGCATTTGGGAGCTATTACCACAGGCATTATCTATTATGACTTTAAGGTGACAACTAAGACTGACAATGGATTCTTTACTAAAATTTTCTTTATCATATATACAAACCAGCTTTCCTTGTCAAGTAGGAATCAGTATAAACTTTTTTAGCAAAGTAAAAATTAAATAAGTTAAAGATATAATCTACTTATACAAACCATGTTTGTTTGTTTGTTTTAAGAAAAGCACAAAGCAACACAATGGGCTATCTGTGCTCTGCCCACCACGGATATCGAAACCCGGATTCTAGCATTGTAAGTTCGCAGACATACCGCTGTGCCACTGGGGGGTAATACAAACCATGATCTTATAGAATTATATTTATGTACAAACTCTCACTATATAACTTACGTGTATGGTGAGAGGGGGCCTGTGAGAATTTTTGACACATCTGTCTGTCCAAGAGCCATAAACAGGCAAGCCAAACCTTGGTTGTTTGAATCTACGTAACCTCCCTATGGAAATAAAAAACAAGCAAGCTGGTAAATGGTTTAAGGTTCCTTTTAAGGTACAGAATCATTAAAAAGGACATGTAAATTCTGAACGTGTACCTGTAGTTGAGTTCAGTACTAATAGAAACTCTTACACGTGTAATACTGAAGTCATAAGTTTAAAATGCTTTCAATTTAACTTTCAACTTACTGACTTGTTTTTACAACATTCATTACTAGTGAGGTCCACATATTGCTCCAAACTTAGTAAATTATGCTTTTGCTTGTTGGAACACTCAGTGCAAAGAGCTGACCAAACAAAAGTGGATGAAAGAACTTTTTCTTTAAATCTAAAACACACAGCAAACTCCAGCAATAGGGTTAACTGCCAGTATTTGATTTTACGTTTTTCTGTGTGACTTGTATGGTATTGGTATTAGTGACTCTGTAACCAAAAAAGCATGAACACAAAAGTATTTTGGTGCATATAAGACTTTAGAAAACTGGTTTAAAAAGTCAATGGGATTTGGACTCAGTAATTTTAAGGTTAATAAAAGTGTGTCAATGACAGTGCATTAGTTTTAATTCACAATGAAATAAGTGCACATCTCTTAACTTTCCTGAAAAATATATTAACAGAACACAAATGTAAGTTGGCCTGGATAAGACAAGTAACAATTACAATAAACTAATGTAAATTAAGCCTGGATAAGACAAGTAACAATAACATAATACTAATGTAAGATAGGCCTAGATTAAGACAAGTATCAATACCAGAATACTAATGTAAGTTAGGCCTGGATAAGACAAGTAACAATAACAGAACACTAATGTAAGTTAGACCTGGATGTAACAATAACAGAACAATAATGTAAGTTAGGCCTGGATAAGACAAGTAACAATAACAGAACACTAATGTAAGTTAGACCTGGATGTAACAATAACAGAACAATAATGTAAGTTAGGCCTGGATAAGACAAGTAACAATAACAGGACACTAATATAAGTTAGACTTGGATGTAACAATAACAGAACAATAATGTAAGTTAGACCTGGATTTAACAATAACAGAACAATAATGTAAGTTAGGCTGAATAGGACAAGTAACAATAACAGAATGCTAATGTAAGTTAGGCCTGGATAAGAAAAGTAACAATAACAGAATGCTAATGTAAGTTAGGCCTGGATAAGACAACTAACAATAATAATAACATATAAATTAATTTTGACTGGTTGTACATAATTTAAATATACATGGCTGACATTTTGAATATATATATTCAATGTGATTTTTAGGAACATTTGGCACCCAAAAAGTGTTAACTTCATACCCTGGAATATTATTTGTCTTGTAATTACACTGAGAAAACTTATTAAAAATTCAAACACTTTTAATTAAAGAGAGATTTCTAGTTTAATATATGCTACTAACATTCAAAGTAAGTTATCCATTACTTGTCAAGTTTTATCCAACATTCTTGAAGACAACCCACAATTTCACAAATAGGAATCATTTGATAATTTCTTGAAGTGCACAAAAAAGATGGGTGATGATTATTTCATATCTCATACACTTTACACACTCAACTTAAATTTTTAAAAATAGTCATGATTTTTACCCAGAATATATCAAACAATCTCAAAGCTACTGCCTCAATACAGCCTTATCAAATCTACTGCCTCAGTACAACCTTATGAAATAAAAGTTTACTTAAAATACTTTTTTTGCAAATCTGTTAAAACTGTAAAAATTTGGACTTGCTTTTCATGCTTGCATGTGATCAAGTCTAACCTTAAGAATTAATTAAAATATATTTTTTGATTATTTTAATAGCATGGTTTTTTCTGTGACATTTCCATCAGTTACAGACAAGTTAACAGATAATATAAGTAAAAAAAAACCTGCATTAGCAACAATTCCAGGCCAGAAGTTATTAATGGGAATACAAAATCTTGACTTACATTCAGAGCATACATCGCTTTATACTTGGTGAAAATAACTATAGTTTTATTTAGTACATGATCGTCACAGTATTGTTCATGACAATCACACACATTTTTACATGCCTAATGTGGTTTTTAGGAACATTTGGTATGGGACACATGTTCATTTCACATTTTCTCATACATAATAAAATTTGTAGAAATTCTTTGATCAGAGACTAGTAGAGAAGCAGATATTATGAGTACTAACATTTAATTAGCATTTGAAAACAATGTGAAAAAATTTCATAATGTTGAAAATGCACAATATTTTTGTATTTTTATTCACAGTTAACTTACCCTGTACACTTCCTCCAAAAGGAGCATAGCCGCTTCTTTCCCAACATCCTCTGCTATACTAGGGCCTTTACCTGAACCAGGTGGATTTGATGCTGACTCTGCTGCCAGAAAGGAACCATTCATTGTTTCAGCTACGAGGCTTAAACCAAAACCTGGAGATCTTTGAGTTAAAATAAAATTTATTATTTAAGATAATCAAGGAAACAGTTTCTAAGTACTCAATGTAGCTTAGTAGTTTCTAACCTAGTTTAGAAGTACTTAATGTAGTTTGGTAGTTTCTAACCTAGTTTAGAAGTACTTAATGTAGTTTGGTAGTATCTAACCTAGTTCAGAAGTATCTAATGTAGTTTGGTAGTATCCAATCTAGTTCAGAAGTATCTAATGTAGCTTGGTAGTATCTAATCTAGTTCAGAAGTATCTAATGTAGCTTGGTAGTATCTAATCTAGTTCAGAAGTATCTAATGTAGTTTGGTAGTATCTAATCTAGTTCAGAAGTATCTAATGTAGTTTGGAAGTATCTAATCTAGTTCAGAAGTATCTAATGTAGTTTGGAAGTATCTAATCTAGTTCAGAAGTATCTAATGTAGTTTGGTAGTATCTAATCTAGTTCAGAAGTATCTAATGTAGTTTGGAAGTATGTAATCTAGTTCAGAAGTATCTAATGTAGTTTGGAAGTATGTAATCTAGTTCAGAAGTATCTAATGTAGTTTGGAAGTATCTAACCTAGTTCAGAAGTATTTAATATAGTTTGAAGTATCTAACCTAGTTCAGAAGTATTTAATATAGTTTGGTAGTATCTAATGTAGTTTGGAAGCATCTAACCTAGTTTGTTTCAGATAATTTCAATGGAACTGAAAAGTTACAAAAATTAAGTTTATACACCATACATGTAAAAAGTAAATTTTGATATTATAAAATCTAAGTTTTAATTAAACTTTCATAAAATGAAATAATAATTCCATTTTTAGAAAGATCTTAAAAATACAAACTGATGAAGACTAAAACGAAAGACTCTTCCTGTACAACTGAAAAAACTTGTGTTTTAAACTACCACCTGGGAGGTAACAAATAGTGATTTGACCAAAATCCCAGTTAACCCAAAAGTTTCTTTAATGATCCTATTTCTCACACTTCAGATTTTTAAGTACAAAACTTTTGTTGTTTATATTCCTATGTCAAAAGTTGTCTAAACACTTGCTTTGTCTTCACTATAACTGAACATTCACTCGCTCGAGACACGACACTAAACTTAGCTGACTTCATATCCCAAATAAACAAACATATGAAGATAGAGTCTAATTAAAGTTCAAGAAAAGTGTTATTTCATCACTAACAAGTATTATAAAAACAAAATAACCACCCAATGATTCTGATATATGTAAAAAAAAATTAAACCATATTTGACTAAAATCCTCTGACAATACAGAGTTGGTGATTTGTAATTGATATTGTTGATGTTTTTCCTAAACAAAATATATATACTTACTTGCCAGCTTGCTTTCCCTTATGCTGATCTGTGTAAATGTACACATCTGGTATATACTGAAGTAGTATACCTTTTGCTGCTTCCACTAATCTATTGGCAATATTTGGAGAAACTCTTACGGTGTAGGCTACTCCCCGAATTCGTTTAATCTTCCCAGCATCTAGTAACTGAACTGGTCTCAACTTCTGTCTCACTGGGCACTGAAAATGAACTTCTCCTCTTCCATCGGGAGGCATTCCACGACTAACAATTTTTAATTCCAAACCCTCATCAGTCCCAAGAAAATGCTTCATAACAGGTATGGTTGTATTTCTTATAATGTCAATCTATTTCCATAGGTAATAGAAAATATATGTCACTTACTGTTTGGATTGTCCACTCTAACTATCACTTTAGTTTATTAGGCTCAGTGACAAAACATTTTTAACCCTATAATTACCAGTACAGTGTACATGGAACCCATCAGCTGTTTAAACACATTTTTCTAAACAGTTTATGCTCCAAATTGTTTGTGGGTTTTAACAAAATAGAATTAATTTATCCCACTAATTACTACTGGGTCTTCTCAGAAAATGAATGGTTTCACTCAAATGTTTTGATCAGCTGAGTATTGTAATGAGCACAATAATAAAATTACTCAGTTTGATGCAATATGTGAATCAACCAATAGCAAGTACTTTAAAAACAAGTCGTATTTTAGGGTTACACAAAAAGTACTTGAAGAAAACTAATACAATGATACATTCTCTGCTATAATAATAATTATAAAATATCAAGGTAACAGTAACACTGTTACTTTTATAGTTTATCCACAATTACTAAACTACACTTATATCTTCTCCCCAAACATTTTCTGGAATGACTACAATCACTCTTGTATCTGAAGATTAGGCCTAGCAGAAAATTTGGAACTAAGATAAATCTAAAAGTTGATCATAAAAATATGAACAGCTTCTACATTTCTGAAACTTAAAAAGTTAGTGTTGCATTAAATTGAACAAGCTTCTACTGTCATTATGCTCGCAATGATTCTCTTTCCATACATACATATTTACATCAAGTTTGAAGATGGCTTGAATAGGTAATGAAGAAAACTTTATTACAAGTTTAACATAATAACATATGTACAGCATTTTGACATCAGGTTTTGTCATCATCAGGTAATTGTCGTTTACTAAGTTAATAATGTAATTTTCTACAAATTTTCAGTCAACTTTTATATTTTCAAAAATACACGAACTGGTCATTTCTCTTTAAGTTTGTTACACTTACAAGTAATTTCTTTTTCTTTCGTCAGCTTTCACCATTTATTTTGATGCCTATTTTTTCACTGACCAATACACAGAACTAAGTATGGGAAAATTATCATTTTCTTGTAACAATCTGCATGATTCTTGAAGCTCAACTCACAAATTGGGATAAATCAGTTTAATACCATTTAAATGACACATATATGAACAAACAATGATAGTCGGAATAATATATACCTGTTTTCAATACTATCCATCTTTGAAATCCAAAGTAACATTTTATCCAAATTATAAAATCATAGTTTAAAAAAAAATAGAAATAAAAAGGTAAAACAGTGTGTAATTTCAGACCTGTCAAAACTTTTTCATGAAATATCTTGTTACAAAATGTTTACCCTGTATTACAACAAAATATGAATTTGTAATAAATGCCCATGAAAATCATCACTAATTTCAGCTCACAATCATACTATATATACATACCCAATAGTTTTTCATTGAAGAACAAACTTGTTTGACAATTAAACCTCCTGTAGAACCTTATATCTTTAATATTAGAAATCAAACTGACTGCTCATCTCATCACAATTCACTCACACATGTGTATCTGCTCTGCAGTAATTTTAATGTTTGCTGCTGTCAGGAAATGTTGATCATTACACACTGAGCTCTTAGCCTGTTAATAATCACTTATTTCATTCAGATGCCCCCATTAAACATATATATATATATTCATAAGATGTTACTTATGCCAAGAATACAAATTTTGTCCATCATAAGTTATCACTGGTACTAGTATTATCTTGCCAAAGATTTCAATGAGTGATCCTTTGTTTATGAGCAGACTACACTGATATTACACAGCTCTTCTCTACTTAAGAAAATGGGAGTCAATTCATATTTTTGAGGGTCTTCCACCAAAACTGGAATACTTGACAGCACTATAATTTCACATGATCCACAATTCCTTCAATTAAAATACGATTCTATGAATTTTGACAATCATCTGTTAAACCCTACATTAAACAATATTCATATGGAGATATTGCTATTTTGACAATCATCTAATAGTTCTGTTAAATCCTATATTAAACAATATTCATATGGAGATATTGTTATTTTGACAATCATTTAATAGTACTGTTAAAATATTAAACAATATTTATATGGAGATATTTTTATTTTCTTAATCAATCAATACCCTAGTGATGACAACTAATATAAAATCATTTATAAGAATCCATTCAATGACATTTTCCTTTGTTTTTGAATTTAAAAACACAAAAAAGGATTGTAAAGAAAAGTAAGGAAATAAGGTTGGAAATACTGTAGATATTATTTACTCAAACTACAAATCCCTATTTTGACTCCACCAAATGAAATTCTAGATAGCAACATGGATAGCCTTGTTTCCTTACTTCTTTTTTTTTTATGATCTCTATTTGCAGGTTTTTAATTTCACAATTTTCTATTTACCTTGCTTTGTAAATTAGGATTGAAGGTTTTCATGATATTCCAGCTTCAGCTCAGAATTTTGTTTGTTTTTGAATTTCAAGAAAAGCTTCTTGAGAACTGACTGTGTTACCTGTCCCTAATTTTGAAGTGTTATACTAGAGGACGGGCAAGCTATCGCTAACTATGGGACTACTCTTATCAGACCAAATAGTGTAATTTCACCATCACCTTTATAATGCATCCACAGCCACAAAATGCAATTTTTTGGGGAGCAGTAACCAGGCACAAACCAAAGAATCTCAGATTCATAGTCCAGCATACAAACCACTAGGCCTTATTCAGTCCTAAGTGACATCCATCATCACATCCAGCATACAAACCACTAGGCCTTATTCAGCCCTAAGTGACATCCATCATACTAACCACTAGGCCTTA